TTTCATTTAAATATTTTGGTTTTTTAAAAAAATAAATCAGAGCTAAAAAAGTGCAAAAACGCAGGCAAATTTGCCTGTATTCTACTACAATCTAAGGGATAGCTTTTATTATATTTTACTATTTTGTTTACTACTTCAATTTTATTATTATTTTATTATATTATCTTTCCAAGTAAATACTTACTGCAAAATGTTGGTGCTATCTCTAAGCTTATATCTGTAATCTTTAAATATTAAAACCTTTTGGATGTTGCTATTATATATAATGCTTATACTTCACAGTATAATTTTTTTTTAAAAACTTTTTATTTAATATTGTATTGTATTTAAACTTTTTACAAGACTTCACAATCAATTATTGACTTCTGTAGATTATAAAAGCAAATTTATTAAATTTGCTTCTAGCCTAATTCAAATTGTTAATCCAATCTATAAGGATTTGGAAGCTTAACTACTAAGCTATAGAACCCAAACTCAAATTTTGATTTTTATATTATAAATTCTATAATAAATTATAAAAAATAAAAACTTTAAAAAATTATACTGCAAATTTTATTAAAATAACAGCATTTGTTTCTTAAGTAAAAATGGGGTTAATCTAATTTTAAATTAATTAAGCTTAAAAAAATTTTTTAAAAAATTTGTCTATTTTATCTTTTTTTGCAGCACCTAGCCCATATAAAGATTTGCAAATTGCTAATTATAAATATTATAATTAATAATTTACAAATCCCTATATTTAAATCTTTAAGCATCTTGAAGTTTACTAAACCAATTCTATTATTATAATTAAAACCTTTAAAAGTTTAATAAAATTTTTTATAATTTTAATTAATTATATAATTAAAAAAAAATTATATATTTATTTAATTTTGTAACTTTAAAGCTACTGTATATTTATAATTACTTGAATAAATTAAAAAATTAATTTTTTTTTTACAAATTTTATATATAAAATTATATTAAGTCATTTCATTTGACCTATAAATATATCACTGTCTGATATATATCAATTAACTCATGCGCTACAAAAATAAGTTCTTATATAAGTTATTCAAGCTCATGGATATTTACTAATATATCCGATTTATTTAGTAGGATCCACTATAACTATTACAGCAGTTACATCTATTACGACCATTACACCTATTACAATCATTACACCTATTACGACCATTACACCTATTACGGCAAAAAATTACAGCTTAAGAATAAAAGGTTGAACTCACTAAACCTATTACGACATGAAACCTTGTTGAGATAATAACCGACTAATCCGGTCCGGCCGTGTCAAAATTATCAAGTCGGCTAATCTTATGAGCTTTTAATCGACTACACTCACTAGCATCTTCCAATTCGCGCTTGAGTGAAGAGCGAGGTGTGAGACTTGAATCTTTGATATTATGGCTATTATCTCTACGAGGAAATATAGTGCATGGAGAAGCCACCGAAGGTGAAGGTTTTGAAAATTGTGAAATATATTCTGTGTATCCTGGATCTGATATGACATAATCCGGTGGCATAATTCCAAAGTTAGTGTACTTTAACCAATGAGTACTGTAATCTTTTTGATCCCAACACTGCCAAATAGATTCATCATATTCTGCCTCTCTCTCATTGGAATTATTGTTGCTATTACAAAGTTCGTGTTTTTCCGTTGTCTCAGACTCCAAATCGATAATATTTATATTATTGCTATGCGTTTGGGAGATCTGAGAACTATTTAATGATGGTGTGGTCAAGTCTATAACCGATATATCATTATCATAGTCATACGGCCAATTAAAGAGATCATCATCTTGCGGTTGTGGAATTGATTTAGTGCTATCATCAAGCGGGTGATTATTTGATTCGTTAGCGCTATCATCAAGCAGGAGATTATTTGATTCGTCTGCTTGTTCAAACCAGGAAAGAATGTCAGGGGCCGCGGCACCAAAAGAAGTTCCCTCGTCCATTGTGACTTTACCAAAATCATTGTCCAACATTTTACCAACAACCCGTAGTTTGGAACGTACTAGCTGCCATTGAATAGTATCTGCAATACGAAAAAAGATAGTATATTGCTTTTAAAATTTGATTAAGAGACCGATAACCCGTGAAAAAACAATTGTTGTTTTAACCTGAAGTATCTTTAACAAGCATATACTTGATATCAACGCTACCTCGACGTCCAATTCTCTATACGATTTATATGAACATTAATTTTCTAACATATTTTCAAGTTACTCATTATAGGTTAAAATGACTGAATAGATCACAAACATGTGCGCGATCTTCGGCCTGTGCAATAATATTATAATTAATATGAGGATTGCGATATATAAAAAGTTGAAAGAATATTCATAAATATACACCTACTTGCAATAAAGTGGACGGGTTCCAAAATAATTCTGCAAATATAACTATAAAAAAAAGGACGAACGTCAAATGTGCTAATATATAAGATATACAAGAGATATAATAAGTGCATACCCAAATCGGCCGCATGAAGTGTTAAACCAGTACTAGCCGCCGTAAGGGAAAGAACAGCTATCCGCGTTTTTTTGTCTTCTTGAAATTGATCACATAAAGCTTGACGATGTTGCTGATTAGTACTGCCATCAATACGAATAAATTTAGCCTAAAAACAAATTGCAACGGCAATATAAAAGTGTCATGGTGTCAATACTTGAAAAATGCAACAAAAAAAAAAAAAAAAAAAAAAAAACTTACATTAAGTTTTGCTGAAAAATAATCAGTAATAGCGTCAAGAACCTCCAAATGATGTCCAAACACAATAAATTTCTTTTCTGAATTTTCATATATCTCAGATAAATACTCCTGAATCGCAGGAACTTTTGAACGACCAGTCTCGGCCCACTTAATAAAATAATAATTATTATAATAAATAAACCTTTTTAAACTTTCACATAATTTTAATCCTTTTTAAAGTTTAACATTATTTTAAAGTCCTTACCATTTGCACCAGCAATGCTTTCCCTTTCATTTCAGCATCCTTTTTCATTTGCCCGTTTGATTTTTTTGCAATTCCATAAAGTTCTTCAGACTCCTTCTTCAATTTTCGGATTTCCCTTTTAGCAGTAGCCGAAATATCTAATATATACAAATAATATTTAATAATATAAGTAACAAAAGTATCAATTAATAGTCTCATTTGATATCTTACCAACGTGAACAATTTGACGTGTTTTAGGAGGTAATTCTAACTCTACATCGGCCTTCAGGCGTCGAATCAATATGGTACGCTCTAATAACCAGTGGAGCTCCTCCAAATTCGAGGAGCCTATAATAAAAGGAAAAATAATTGAACATGACATTTGAATAAATAACCGAAATTATAGATAAAAAGTACGAGCTCTCACCAGAATAATCCCATCCGTACGGGCCTCTAGAAGCATTACAATACCTTATACCATATTGTGTGAACGTAGAAAAAGTTGTTTTATCCAGAGCATTGGCCAACGAGAAAAGTTCAATAGGTTTTGATAATGCCTAAAATTCAAGATCTTATGAATACATAATTAATATTAAATGATGTGATTGACAAGTAAAATCGAATAATCTTACCGGTGTTCCCTATGTTACAGCATAAAAAAATCTGAATTAATGAAATAAGAATAATAAATTTTGTATAATTTGACTAACCGTAAGTAAAAGAGCTCGTGTAGCATTTTGAATTAAGGGGCATATACTTCTGGACCTTTTTGTCTAAAAATGGATAATGATAATCAGTACAAAACAAAATTAGAAATGTTCACAAATATCATATATTTGTAACATACATCTTTGTTTTTTAAATAATGCGCCTCATCTGTTATAACAATGCTAAATTTATCAGCCAAATCACCACCTAGTTTTGCAGCACAATCGTAGCTGGTGATTACGAATTTGGGGGTAGGGCGATTAATTTTATCCTTAAGATGAAATATGACTTGAATGTGACTTTCCCTAACTCCGAGCCATTTTTGAATTTCACCGCACCAAGTTAATCTTAAGCTTGATGGGCAAATAATCAAAACTGGCCATTCAGATTCATAAAACTTGCAAATAGTGAGTGCTTGAATAGTCTTTCCGAGGCCCATCTCATCACCGAGTAAAATACGACCATTCCTCATTATCGCTTGAGTTACACCTTCTTTCTGAAAACTCATCAAAGTATCCCATAATTCAGAAGGAATTTTTCCATGAATCTCGCGCACAGCATCATTTCGTTTAGCCTCAATATCATCTATATTACAAAATAATTTGACAACGTATGGTGGGAATTCATGAATATTCATTTTTAAATCCTTGACGTTCCTTAATTTTTGCATACAATTCTGGTACTGTGATAGTGGTATCACCCAGCCTCGTTCAGACACATTAAAAAGAGAGTTTTGAATTTCTTTCCATAATGATACTAGCTTTGGATGATAACCACGTACAATAAATTTATTTTTGTCGAAAATACAAAAATATATATCCACTTTATCTTGCTGAGGGACTAATTGTTTAATTTTCTGGGTATTATTTGGCTGAACATTTTGCTTGCCCCAATCAGGAAGAATCCTTGAACCGCTCGTAGAAGTATCTGCGGACGAATTGGACGATTTATTAGAAGTCGTATTGGTTGAAGAGATATTTGTAGTTTTCTGAGGCTTCGGAGCAGATGGTACGGTTTGAACAGCAGTTCCGGATGTGTTTGAAGAGGAAGAAGAGTTGTCCCAAAGGAAAAAGCCACATTTTCTAAGAGGGCAAGAATAAAACCAGCGCCCTTTATTGGGACCTTCTTTTTTTGTCTCGTAATGAGTAGCATTTTTCCCACATTTGCAGAGCATTTTTGAATACGAAAAAAATAAATTAATCTAAGATCAAATATCTGATATATTTAACACTATACGTATCTACTGATCTAACAAAAGCTAAGCAACGCGTCATTTATAAATTGATTGTATCCACGTGATTGAACCAAAAATAAACACTATCAGTGATAATAAATCAATGAAAGTGACAATGTTATAAATTTAAAACTGTGCAAAGATTCAAATACGTACGTACGTACGTACATAAAACTAATAAGATAATACTAATACACTCTTCAAATGAACATGCGTATTTTATTAGGGTGTCAAATGCAAGTCGAATTACAAACATAGTGCAGGTGATATAGTGATGATCATTAGTCAGGTTTTTTTATAATTAAAATTTTTAAGATCTGCACGCTATAGTAAAAACTATAGAACAATCGGCATCTTTCGTTTTTAATTCCTCCCGTAATATCTGTTATTTCTTAATTCTGCAAATGCAAAATGGTTTAATAAAAGGTGTCTTTACATGGTAACAACGTTAGAATTTTTGCCTTACTAATTATGAATACCTTTAATTCGAAGTTGAATTAGTCTATTAAAAAGTCATATGACAGACTTTATTAATGTTGTACAAGATAACGATAACGATAAATATGCGAAAACTTTTAAATTTAGACTAAAAATCTATTTATTGTGTAGTACAGCTTGTTAGTTTGTAGTTTTTTTGTTACGTCGCCAGGTAAGAAAACTACTAAGAATTTCATATGCTTTTTCTTCTTTAGTAATCTCATTACTTTCTAATTGCTTAGTAATTTTAGAATTATTGATGTTTTGTCGGATGTTTTGCAACGCGACTTGAGAAATTTCCTGAAATCCACCATCCAAACCTGAGAGTTGAATACGTGATTCTTGTAACTGAGCACCCATATTTGGGTGAATTTTCATATCATAACGATTAAACAACCCCTCTAGTTGTTGCTGATGCATCACAATGTTCCATATGCGAAATTTAATGAATTCGTATATGAGAGGAAACTTTACCGGTTCTGCAATATCAGAATTGGCAAATGCTTCAAATTTTTCAAAAAAATCACGCTGTGCTAATGCTTCTAACAGTCCAAATGTATTCGTATGTCCATTAAACAGGTCTTCTTTCAAAAGTTCAATATAAGAAATTTCCCTTAAGGTAGGAACTTTTAAAAAATTTTTATTAAAATATACAGTCAAAAAGGCATGAGCAAACTCAGGTCCATTTACACCACCTAATCGGCAAACACTGAGGGGTAAGTGAATCCAGGTTTTCATCCATTTAATGAATCCATTTAATGCGCTTTCTATTCCAGCACATAATGAAAAATGAAAGTTCTCGAAATCTATCGTATTCAACTCATGTTTAGCATCAATTAATTTATTACCAAATAATTTATTAACATTTTTTAAACAACATTGAAGTTTTTGAATCCATAGTGCTATTGTATCCGGCATTTCGTGTGCACGATTACCTGGTGGAAGAGTATCAACATTATTTGGTTGGTAAATTTGTGGAACTGAATCATATCCGGTCAGAAAATTATAAAGGGGTTCATAAAATTCTTAACCGAATTTAACAAGACACTGTATTTGGAGATTAAGTTGCTTATTTGTAAGCCATTCAAGAAATGTTTGCCACTTATTTAAGTATGATTTAGAAACATCTTTAGCATTTTCAAGTTGCTCAATAAAGAAATTTGCGAAGCAGATATGAACTTCACATCTATCAAGATATTGTTTAGCAGTTTTAAGCTCATATAACCACTGTTGACGGATAGGCTATTGATATTGGCTCATTTCAAAATTATATAAAATTTTATAGAGTTCTCTTAACATTCCCGATTTTAGGTTTAATGGACTGTCTTTATCAGAAAGATTATAGCTGTCATGAAGGTAAAAAGCAAGATTAAGTAAATTAAATGGATGCTCTTTTAATGATAGCCCTTTAACAGAATCTAGCTTTCCAAATGCTGTATTCTTGAAATTGGTTAAGATGATATGGATTGCATGCAATCCACAAAGAACTGAAACGATTTGGACGCTGTTAATGAATTAAATTTAGCGACCACGCCATTAGCCTCTGAAGACATATAAGCCGTATTATCCGTTAGCCAAAAATAACATTTTTGGGGATTGATTTCTTTTTGCTGACATGTTTCAAATACATTAGTTGAAACTGTTTCGGCATTACAATGTATTATATCTTTAATTTTTAATACAGTAATTATGGACTTTTCTTTAATATGATTCCAATATGAAAGACAAATAATTAATATTTTTTTTCTCCCTGAGTACTTTCATCGACCATAATACTATAGCCAAAAAATCTTGAAGCTTCTATAGGATGGTTTTGAGCAAAAGACAGGGCCACCATTTCATTGTTTCATCGTGCTAAGGTAGATGGTGCTACTCAATACTGTGGCATCTCTCCGGTTAAGAATTGATAAATGGCTTTAGTGCATTCTACTGTTGCGTGTATTGAGGTTCGTCCTATAGTACTAATATCAGTAGCTAATTTTACAAACCTCGCATCATATTCATTTTTATTAATTTTAAATAATTTATTAACTGTTTGTTGTAATTGAGCAGGGCAAACCCTTTTTACTTTACGAATAGAAGCTCAAATTTTTGAAATTTGGTTTTGTTTATACTGTTTTGCCTTTACTATTTGCATAGAAAGTAAACGACTATTAAAGGAAGATTTATATCTTTTTAAACGTCGATTTGTTTGTTTTAATTTTTTATTTTTTAATTTTAATGCAGATTTTAATGCAGCATTTGTTTGATTAGGCTTATAATAACTAGTATCTATAAACTCACATGCCTTTTGTTGCAAATATGTAGAAATTATTTCTCCCTAGTGATCTCTTCGAGGATATACCATTTTTTGAAGAAGTGCCGATGCATCAAAAATTTAGTGATCAGATAAGTTTAAAACACGTATAATTATATCGTTACATCTTATTTGAATGCAAGTGTTCATTTTTCGAGATTTGATGATTCTTTTTATTAAATTATTAAAATCATTATCTTCCAATTCTTCAAATATTGAAATTAGGTGGTCAAGTAATTCTTGTCATTGATCATACTTCTGCGATTTTCTAGTGTTTTTAAGTTATCTATTTTGTGTATTTAGCCAACCCATTATAGTATAATTATTTGGCGATGGTATATCTGCTAGCCAACACTAAGGTTTGAGATTTGGATTAATTTAATTATGTTGAGTTATAATTTGGAGATTAAATATTTGTAATAATTTATTATGCTGAGCTTGGAATTGAGACGATTTTATGTTGGGTTGAAATATCTGAGACTTGAAATTCTGGAGACTTTAGATTTACTAACAATTATAAAAATTTGATTGATCTGTAACAAATTCATGATCTTTTTATAACAGTTCACAGAAAGACGAAGTTGCAAAAAATCAAGAAATCGCAAATCAAAAAATCACAATAATAATGAAATATGTATATATTTAGGTTTATTATCTCTGATTAAGATGAAAATAATATAGAAGCTAATTATTATTTGCCTTAACTTCTTGTATAGTACTGATATATTGTAACTTTATTTTAATAATTTAAATAAAGTATATTTGCATACGTTTTAATTATGTATTTTTATTTGATTTTTTAATAATTATTACATTGATTGTAAATTTAATTTAATACAGTTTTTAAAACTAGTCTATCGAACTGTAATTTAAAGAAAATTTTTAGAATGTTCTTAAATTCAGGATTATTTATTAATTTATGTTATAAAAATATAAAATACTGTACAATGATTTTTTTTAGTAAAAGATTATTAAAACTTCTACTCGCTCTTTTGATGGTCTACAATTATAAACTTTGATTATATATAATACAGAATTCCTTTTTAATTATTTATTATCCAATATATAATTATAAAAAATATACAATAGTAATTTTAATCAACAGCTTTTAAAAATTGATATGAGTGTCGCTAAAAGAAAACCCGAAAATTTAAATGTAAGTTATATTTAAATTTTCTGGTTTTCTATTAGCGACACTCATATACATTAATAGCTCTCTAAATAATTAAGTACTAAAAGACTAAAAAGATCCAACAATCCCCATACCGTAATACAAAAAATCTTCAAAAATTTTTATATTTCCGTATTTGTATCAACAAAAAAACCGTTGAATAATATATTGCTATATTCAAATATATAGAATATAAATACTTTATATTGTAATAAATCGACCAGGGCGGCCTCCCTATACAGTTCCTAAAATGAACCTATCAAGATCTCTTGTCTGCATACTTGTCATTAACTAGTTTAAGGCTTATTGTGTAAAATGCATCAATAGTCCTTTAAGGGTTAAATATTGAAGGTATAAATCTGGAAAATATGTTAATATCCTTACATCATTATTATACAGAAATCTTTCTGGTTTGTACTAAATATACTTTCCGTATTGTTGAGTTGGGATATGTCATATTTCCTATATATGTCAACAAAACACAATTGCGAGACTTTCTATATATGTCAACAATACAGTTGCGAGACTTTCTATATATTTGTCAACAAAACAACTGTAGAAATAATATAATGCATTTGTATGAGAATTATATTAGTATAGTGGTTTGTTTTAATATTTAAATAATAAAAACTTTTGAATCTACTTATCAAATACTATTTCCAGAATGCTTAACTCTTTTCGGCATATTGAAGAAAATACAGTTGGGTTGAGATATCTTATATATACAAGATATTCATGTAAAAATAGCATAAAATCTCTAAATATCTAGAATACTATTGTTATGATTATTATTAGCGTAAATCTTGCATATCGTAATAAAATCATTAGACGTATCAATTAAAGTCGTAATACTCCAATACTATTTTTACGCGTTGTATATTTTGAGTTGAATATATAATTCGGTTGTAAATTATATCATACCTTCTATGATTTATACTACAAATAAAAATTTGTCTTTAAAAATAAAGTATTAAAGCCTTATCGTTAGCCTAATCA